ACTAAGAAATAATTTTCAAAAACAGTATATAATATGGCTGAATATTGAATCAAATAATAAAACTGGATAATAAAAAAAAACCAATGTTTTCTTCTTCAAATGAAATAATATACTTTCTGGCCAGGCACAGTGGCTCACACCTGTAAACCCAACATTTTGGGAGGCCAAGGAGGGTGGATCACATGAGGTCAGGAGTTCAAGACCTGCCTGACCTCATCAACATGGTGAAACCCTGTCTCTACTAAAAATACAAAAGTACGCGGGTGTGGTGGCGCACGCCTGTAGTCCCAGCTACTCAGGAGGCTGAGGCAGGAGAACCGCTTGCACCTGGGAGGCAGAAGCTGCCGTGAGCTGAGATTGTGCCATTGTACTCCAGGCAACAAAAGTGAAACTCTGTCTCAATAAAAAAAAGAAATAATATACTTTCTAAATGCTAATCTCCCTTTGCAAGCATTAATATCTTTTTTAAAAAGTTACAACACTTCTAGTTTCCAGTCTAGCATTAAGGAGCTTTGAAGTTGCCACTCCATCCTAACAAGTGAAAAGCTAAACAAGCTAAAACCTTGACAACTCTTTGTAGGTCTGTCAGAGAAGTGAGGTCACAGGACAAACTGCTGCCCCCAAACTGGAGACACAAACAGGTGGATACAGAGAATCACAGCAGAGCAGAAACCCACAGGAGAAACCTCCAGAGAATGGAGAAACCTAACTGTAATAGATGAACTGCTAGAGGCTGTGTGGACAAGTCTAAGAGTTAGAAAGTCCAGGGAACCACCTCACAGAGGTTTTTATAGTTTTACCTCCAGGAACTCTACTTGGTCTCCTGCTTCCAGCAGGGGGAGGGCTAAAGGAACCATTCTGAAATAGGCCAGACCACTTTGTTCTTAACAAGGCCTGCCCTCAAGAGAAACTATTTTACAGAGCTTAACTTGCTAAGAGTTTTATGAAAGCTTAACAAACATAGGGTAAGGATGATAACCAACTCCAGCCCCCTCTAGCCATCCACGGGGGGAAGAGAAATATCCATCCTAGTGGGCACTAACCTTCCATGTGAAGGAACACCACCTCAGCTCTCTCCAGACTTCCACATAGGGGCCCCTCTAACTATCCTGTCCCACCTAACAGGGGTGATGAGAAACATAGGTAACATTCACAGTTCAGTGGCACAAACTCACCAAAAGACTAAGACCTAATCACAGAATTACAGAACACTTCCTCTCCTTCCAATCTTACCATCACATCACTAAAGGCCTTTTTACAGGCCAGTACATCATGTCCAGATTCAACAAAAAATTACAAGCCCTAGAAAAAGGCAAAACACACACACACACACACACACACACACACACACACACACACACACAATTTGAAGAGACGGCAAACATCAGAACCAGAGTAAGAAATGGCACGGATGTTGGGATTATCAGACCAGAATCTAAAACAATCATGATTAATATGCTAAAGACTCCAATGGATAAAGGAGACATCATTCAAGTATAGATGGATAAGGTAGACAGAGAGTGGGAAATTTTAAGAAAGAATCAAAGAGAAATGCTAGTCATTAAAGACACTGTACCAGGCTGGTCATGGTAGCTCACACGTTCAAGACTAGCCTGGCCAACATGGTGAAACCTCATCTCTATAAAAATCAGCCAGGCATGATGGCTGGTGCCTATAATCCCAGCTACTCGGGAGGCTGAGGCAGGAGAATCACTTGAACCCAGGAGGCAGAGGTTGCAGTGAGCCGAGATTGCACCACTGCATTCCAGCCTGGGTGACAGAGCAAGACTCCATCTCAAAAATAAATAAATAAAAACTAAAAACACTGTAACAAAAATAAAGAATGCCTTTGATGCGCTCATTAGCAGACTGGACATGGCTGAGAAAGAATCTCTGAGTTTGAGGATATGACAACAGAAACTTCCCAAACTGAAAAGCAAAGAGAAAAACGACTGAAAAAACACAGCAGAATATCCAAGAACTATGGTACAAGTACAAAAGGTGTAATGTACACATAATGCAAATACCAGAAGGAGAAGAAAAATAGGAATAGAAACCATATTTGAAGGAATAAAAACGGGGCCGGGAGCGGTGGCTCAAGCCTGTAATCCCAGCACTTTGGGAGGCCGAGGCGGGTGGATCACAAGGTCAAGAGATCGAGACCATCCTGGTCAACATGGTGAAACCCCGTCTCTACTAAAGCTACAAAAAATCAGCTGGGCATGGTGGTGCGTGCCTGTAATCCCAGCAACTCAGGAGGCTGAGGCAGGAGAATTGCCTGAACCCAGGAGGCGGAGGTTGCGGTGAGCCGAGATCGCACCATTGCACTCCAGCCTGGGTAACAAGAGCAAAACTCCGTCTCAAAAAAAAAAAAAAAAACTGAGAATTTTCCCAACTTAATGTCAGATTCCAAATTACAGATATAGGAGGCTCAGAGAGTACCAAGCAGAATAAATTCCCCCCAAAAATCTGTACTTAGGCATATCATAGTCACACTTCTGAAGCCAAAGATAAAGAAAAAATTGTAAAAGAAGCCAAAGGGAAAAAACAAATACCTTTCCTATATAGAAGCAAAGATAAGAATTACATTTGGCTTTTCCTCAGAAACCATCAAGAAGAGAGTGGAGTGAAATACTGTCGAGAAAAAAAATCCCATCAACCTAGAATTCTGAACCCTGTGAAATTATCCTTCAAAAAATGAGGGAGAAACAAGTATAAGGGATATGCTAAGAAAGGACAGAAAAAGAAATTATATGTAATGCTCAATTAAAACAAACAAACAAAAAGGCAGAAAAAGTGTGGGAGGCAAAAACAGGAACAAAGAACAAGGGCAACAAACAGAAAACAGTAACATATATAATAAACATCCTTCTGAATTCTTTTATCTGGTAAATTAAAAAAAAATATGTAATAAACATTAATCCAACTATATTAATCAATAATCACTTTAAACATCAATGGTCTAAATATGCCAATTAAGAGACAGAGGGTGTTAGATTAAAACAAAACAAAACACCCAAACAGTATATTGTCTACAAGAGACCCACTTATTTATTTATTTGAAACAAGGTGTCACTCTGTCACCCAGGCTGGAGTGCAATGGTGCAATCATAGCTCACTGTAGCCTCAACCTCCCAGGCAAAAAGCGATCCTCCCACCTCAGCCTCCAAAGTAGATGGGACTACAGGTATGCACCACCATGCCCAGCTAATTTTTAAATTTTTTTTGTAGAGACAGTGTCCCACTGTGTTGCTTATGCTGGTCTTGAACTCCTGGGCTCAAGAAATCCTCCCACCTGGGCCTCCCAAAACACTGGGATTACAGGCATGGACCATTGTACTCAGCCAAGAGATCCACGTTAAATATAAAGACACACAGAGATTTTTAAAAAGGAATGTCCCAGCATAGATGGGTTCTTAAAAAAGAAAGAAGAGTAAATAAATAAATGGATAAAGAAAGATATACCATTCTAACACTAACTGAAAGAAAGTTGGGTAGCTAAATTAATTTCAGAGCAAACTTCAGAGAGAGCAAACTTCACAGCAAGGAAAGTTATTACAGATAAAGAGGAGCAATACATAATGATAAAAAGGTCAGCTGTCCAAGAAGACATAACAATCCTTAACACATATATGCCTTAAAACAGTGTCAATATACGTGAGGCAAACATTGACAGAAGCAAGAAGAAATGGATGAATTCACTATTACAGTTGGAGACTTTAACCCCCATATATCAGAAATGGACAGAATCCAGAAAGCATAAAACCAGTGAGGATATAGTGGAACTCAACAGCACTACCAACTGACTGGATATAACTGAAATCTACAGAATACTTCATCCAACAAGAGCATATTACATGTTCTTCCCAAGCTCACAAGGAACACTGACTAAGACAGATCACATTCTGGGCCATAAAATACAATGTAATAAATTTAAAAGAGAATCATACAGTGTCTGCTCTCAGGCCACAATGAAATTAAACTTGAAAGTGATAACAAAGATAGCAGGAAAATCCCAAAATAGGTAGAAATTAAACAACACACTTCAGCCAGGCGCAGTGGCTCACACCTGTAATCCAAGCACTTCGGGAGTCCGAGGCAGGCAGATCACTTGAGGTCATGAGTTCTAGACCAGGCTGGCCAACATGGTGAAACCTCACCTCTACTAAAAATACAAAAATTAGCTGGGTGTGGTGGTGCGCACCTGTAATCCCTGCTACTTGGGAGGCTGAGGCACAAGAATTGCTTGAACATAGGAGGCAGAGGTTGCAGTGAGCCAAAATCATGCCACTGCACTCCAGCTGGACAATAGAACCAGACTCCGTCTCAAAAAAAAAAAAAAAAAAAAAGAAACACACTTCTAACCAACACATGGGCCAAAAAGAAATCTTAGCTGGGTGTGGTAGCTCACTCCTGTAATCCCAACACTTTGTGAGGCTGAAATGGGAGGATTACTTGAGCCCAGGAGTTAGAGAACAGCCTGGACAACATAGTGAAACCCCATCTTTACAAAAAAATTTAAAAGAAAAATTAGCCAGGCACGCCTGTAGTCTCACCTACTTGGAAGGTAGCTCACTCATCACTTGAGTGAGCCCATGAGTTTGAGGCTGCAATGAGCTATGATTGTGCCACTGCACTCCAGCCTGGGTGACAGAGCGATGAAGCCCTATACCTAAAGAAATTAAAAATTAACTTTTAAAAAGGAAACCTCACAAAAAACACACACAAAAAAAACAAAAACAAAAAAACCCACACAAAACACACACACACACACACACACACACACACACACACACATATCAAGGGAAATTTAAAATATTTTAAGCTAAATGAAAATGAAGATACAACTTATGAAAATGTGTAGGATGCATCAAAACAGTGCTTAGAGGGAAATTTATAGTATTTAGTGCATATTTTAGAAAAGAAGAATGATATAAAATCAATAATCTAAGCTTCTACCTTAGGAAACTAGAAAAGTAAGAGCAAATTAAATCCAAATTAAGCAGAAGAGAAGAAATAATTTAAAAAATCAGAGCACAAATGAATACAACTGAAAAGAGGAACTCAGCAGAGAAACTCAAGAGCGAATCCTAATGCAAACTGCGGACTGTGGGTGATGATGTGTCAGTGTGGTCTATCAAGTGTAAACATCTACCAGTGTGGTGTCCGATGCCAACGTGGGGGAGGTCGTGCATTTGCAGGGATGGGGTATTTGGGAACACTGTACTTTCTGCTCAATTTTGTTGTCAACCTCTCTTCTCTGTCCTCCAAAAAGAAAAACTGAATTTATCTTTTCAACAGCAACAACAAAAAAACCTGAATTTATCTTTTCAACACTCTTCTAATACTGCAAAACAAAATATTCACTCAAAACAAGCCTCTCCCCTGAGAGTGTTTAAGACTTTAATTGTGCTTCTGTTCCCTTAGGACAGACTGACTAAAGAGCCCCGAGAGGGGCATGGGAGGCAGACTCTACTCTGTGAGCTCGGTAGTAGTCACACTGTTCACTTTATGATTATTTGTTAAACAGTAAATGTATGACTCATGTATATAAATATATTTTTCAGTAAAAAAAAATGAACAGTATTTTTCATAGCTTCCTTCATAAAAATTCCTCTAAGTAAAGCAAACTAAAGATCTCATTTAAATTTATTCATTCTAATTGTCCTTTTAAAGGCTCTAAAGAACAGAGATGGGACAAAACCAAAACTGAATGAAATACTTGGGTGGCTCATTTACATCTTTCAAGAAAAGTCTCAATGTGGCTAGAGATTTGAAACATATTTTAATATAGTTAGCTTAATACTTCCAGTCCCTTCTTTCTCTAAATTTAAAGATTTTCATATATAAAATAGGAAAGGTACAAATTCATCTCCTTTTTACATGGCTTATATTTTCCAGGATTTTTAAGTGTCTAAAGAAATGGCACTTTTACACTATCCTTTGATTTTAGACCTACAGTACTTTCCATTCTTTCCCAAATACATCACTGTGCCTTTATTTGTAACATATCACCTCTCTAATGAGTACAACCTAGGGCTCTAATGCCTCCTCTTCACCCTGCAGTCAGAAGCTATGCTTTTGAACAGTTAATATCGTACCTCTGGTTCAAACTGCTGAGAGCACAATCTTGGAATACTGATTCTATTGCTTAAGACCCCAAATGGACTGTCATCACCTCTCTCCCCAAAAGCTGGCAGTTAATGACCATTCTAATTCTAGCTAGTGAGGGAACAGGTACTTCCAGGCAGTGTGTCTTTAGGTCAGCATGATTTCTCCAATTATAAATGTATCACTGTCTGTGGCTGTCCAAACAGCATCTCTTTTTGTTATCTCTTAGATTAGAAATGGACACTCTCTGAGGGGACGCCATCCTATGAATTTGACCTAGGTCTTCTTCACTCATGCTTCCTCCTTTTGGAGCTATCTGGCACTCTTCCATAAAAACCACCATAACCAAATATGTTTGTTCCTTCTCAGGTTTGAGTAACACAGGAGAATTATTCCGGGTGTCAATTCTTAATTCAGTCTTTCCCAGGGAAAGAAAATTCTTACTTTAACTAGGAATAACCAGACACTAGTATATTACAGCTGCAACAACTCTCAAAAAAGCTGTACAAAAGAAAAATGTGGCTTCCACCTCCAACAGTCATTAAAGATTTCTTTTTTTTTTTTCTTATTAAGGCACCCAGAACACATAATATTATACCAAGCCAAAAGAACCAATTTTTTTCATGGAGTAGAATAGCAATTGGCTGTTACTCATTAAATTCTTACAGCAAAGAGCAATGACTTTCTTTCTTGTTTTGCTTCTCTTTGAATAGTAGATGAAGTTGATTTTTTTGTAAGGCTGCCTCCCATCACCACGTTCCTGATCCTTGGCCTGTGCAGCTGTTAACATGCTGCACACGTATGCTTAGGCTCCTTAACAACCAATGCTACCTTTCTGTTTACTCCAAGTCAGTTCCTATCTTGTTAGTGAAATTGATTTTTTTCTTTTTAAACATAATAATTTCATAACATACAAAAACTATATATATAAAGTCCACTGGTTTTCTAAATCCTTTTTTTTATTTTAAGGGCTTCACGGGCCATGGAGTCACGTTTTAATTGAGAAAGACATGTCCAATCATGGTAATGCCGAAAGATGGGTGGACTACTACTTCACAAACATAGTTAACTGCCTGTGTTGGGGGTGGGAGGTAACTGCTGAAGCCCACAATTTACCTTTACTTTAAGAAAGAAGTTAATTCCATTGATTGAACATAGGTGATAGATTATTTTTCTGGAACTAGTGATTAAAGAGTAAAACATTAGAAACTATACTAAAGGGTACTTCGTCATAACTATCTGTGGTCAAAGGCACTTGTCCATAACTCACGCCATGGTTTTTATATTCTAATTGCCTATTAACTATCTGTTTCCCTCATGGACTGGAAGCTCCTGGAAGGCAGGGATTGTATCATAATGACTGTTTCTCATCTTTAGGGCACATAGTCTGGCAGATGGTATACAGTCATTAAGTATTTCTGTTAGTGTTGGTATTATATTCAGTACAAAAGTCTAATTATTAACTAGCTACGGTTTTAGATTAATTGGCACACTCACTGCCCCACCATTTATGAAACGAGTTTTAATTGGACATTATCCCAGTTCAGGCAGATATGCCCAACTTCAAGTATGTAATGTTCTCTACCTAAACACTGAGCATCTTTATGGGAGGCAGCAGAAAACAATGCTCAGTTAGTGAGTTTTGAGTCTCTTTGCTCTGATTCAGACTCTGCTACTAACTAGCGGTACCTCTGGCAAGTCACTTTACCTTAGTAGATCTCGTGTCAGAGATTAAAGTGGGGAATTGGACTAAATGGTCTCTAAGAACCTAGCTAGGTCCAGCGCTAAAAGTGACTGGGTTTGAATTAGTAAGGGTATACTGATACAGCAAGTCCTTGTCAACACTAGAGGGAGCTACATTCATGTCATCACTGGGGTGGTCCAGAAGATTTCTGGAAAAAGCATCTTTAAATGGAAAACTTACTTTGCAAAGTAAGAGAAATTCCATACCAAGGTAAAAGTTCCACACTGCTCATACAGCCACCCAACAGGCTCTCTCATCATCCCACTCTTACAGATGTCGAAGCACCTCACACCTGACTTGCATCAACACACAAGGCTTCAGTTTTAATTCCATTAAAAGCCAGTTGGCTTTGAGCCATTCCTAAACATTTCTTTCCCCATTCAGTCTATTTTCTTTCTTAACTAAATTAACAACAAAAAAAGCAAAGCAATTCACGATGATACTAGAAAATCCCCAAAGAAGGGTGATAAAAGAAGAGAAAGATTCATATCACACCGAAGCTGCAGCCTGGGAAAAACAGTAAAGTTAACTACAGCTGAATTCATTAGCAGCCTGCCACTCAAACACAAAGCTACCTCAAAAACAAGAAAACTACTCAAAAAGAGAAAACATATCAAGGAAAGGAAGGACTTTGGCATAGCTCTGCAATGTGGGTGCTGGAATGCCTGTCTGAGGTGATGGCTGGCACTGCCCTATTGGGCTCCATGGTAAGCAGTCACAGCTGTTGAAGAGCGATATCATTAATTAAGGCAATGGGTCACATTCAGCATTGGGCAAGAAACTGTGAAGTGACAAGATAAGGGAATGGAGGATGGAATAGGGAAGAAAAAGTACAAGTATTTCTCAAGCTACAGCTTTATTCTGATGTTATTATATACTTCCCTTCCACCTCAGCAAAACACCCATAGCCTTGAGAATGACCTAAACCCTTACAGAGCAAATGAAAAAAAGACTCGAAAACCTCTCCATTAGTATCAACTTATGTTTCTCTTTGTCCAGAGGAACGATGGCATGTTAACCAGATAGAGAAGGCATAAATCATGAATATTGCAGAAGGGTAGTCTGTTGGAGAAAGATAAATGTAATCCTGAAGAGCCCCTTTACATGCATTTCGCAGATTAATTCAACACTTAGAAAGGCAAAGCCTCAACAGTCAAAAATGCACCATCTACTTTTTAGGACATAGGCTGTTTCTGAGTCAAAACGGATTATAAAGCCACTTCAGAGACTGACTTTGCGGGTAAAGAGAAAAATCTGTTGGAACAAGACAAATAATTATTTTCTACTTAAAAAAATGCAAGCTCAAACCTCCAGAGGTAAGTACAGAGTAAAACTTAGGTTGAAATCAACTTATTTCTATGAATCTAAGTAGCTGGAATACCTAATTGTTTCTTTTTTTTTTCTTTTCATCAGTGTTTCTTAAATCACCAATTTCAGGCAGGGTGCAGAAGCTCACACCTGTAATTCCAGCACTTGGGAGACAGAGGTGGTAGGATCACTTGAGCCCAGGAAGTCAAGGCTCCAGTGAGCTGTGTTTGCACCACTGCATTCCAGCCTGAGAAACAGAGCGAGACACTGTCTCAGATAAACAAACAAACAAACAAATCAATTTCAAGTACTCTAGAAGTGCCAAAGCCTTAAGAGGACCACCTCCTTTTCCTTTCTTACCCTTTAGATAATTAAATTTTAACAAGTATGAGACAAGGTATGAAGAATTATGAGAAAAATATACTGTATTGTTAAAAGGAGAACTACAATTTTTCCTCCCTTATTTAGGACACGTGCCAAAGGATTTTCAATTCACTGTGCTTCATACTGACCTTCAAAATGTTTCGGCCATCAAATGATTCTCTTTCCTTGAAGATATATTTGCCATCTGGTGTGTAGAGATTGTACCTGCCTTCAGCTGTAAATATTCCAAAGATAATGTTAGAAGCTTAGGTTGGCTGGTTGTTTTCTCTTGGATTTCTACAGGTACATAGGTACAACTAGAAAAATTTTCACATACTACCTCGAAAGTGGCATAATGCAGAGGAAAAACGTCAGGCTATGAATCAAGAGACCTGTCTTCCAGTCTCAGTTCTGTCATCAATTCATTCAATATACATTTACTCATTAATTTATTCATTTGACATTCTCCAGGCACCATCTATATATTCCTAACTATGCAACTAGCTACATTCTTAAGCAAATTATGTCTCTATCGTGGACCTTAGTTCTTCATTGACAAAGTGACAGGTAGGACTGAGTAATTTTCAAAGGTTCCTTACGTTCTACAGACCTAAGATAAGGGGCATATAATTTTAAATATGTAAAAATACATAAGAGTTCACACATTAACTAGTCAAAACTGCTGGCAATTATGCTCTGGGCTGATTTAAGAACTTCCCCAAAAGGAAAAAGAACCCTCTAGTTGCAATCAAAGGTATCCTTACAGGCATTCTACATAGGAATGCAGCAAATCTATGACCTTAGCCTAAATCAAGCTGTGCTCTAGCTTCTTGTGTTAATTTGGGTTGCGTATCTCAAAAGAGATCCTTAAAGGTTGGCAAGAAAAAGAATATCAAAGGAGAGGGAAACAGGAAAGAAAAAAATGTAACATCATTTCATGTCCTTTTCAAGTAAAAATTCAATACAGGAGAGTCCAGAGTACAAAAAATTCAAAGGATCCTCAAGAATTAACTCAGAATATTTTCGGAAATATTAATCATTTCTTACCAACTGACAGACATTCAAAAATACCTATTTCCACCTTTAAGTATGTTCTTTTACTTTTATAAGTAAGGAGTATACGAAGCCAGAATTGATCAAATATATCTAGAGTTTTAACAACTCCATTAACATAATACATAATACATTTCAGCTAGCTCACTGGAGTTGCACATGGGTAACTACGGAACTATTTCTCTAATGAGAAGAATGCTCTTAATCAAAGATCCCAATCCCATGCATATTTCACAACTTAAAAATAGGTCTCCTGTTAAGAGAAAAAGACTGCGTGAAGTTGCAAAAGAACAACAAATTAATACCAAATAAATGTCAAAAAGCGGAAACAACACAAATGTCCACCAATTGATAAATGGATACATAAAATGTGGCATATCCATACAATGGACTATTATTCAGCCATAAAAAAATGAAGCACCAGGCATGGTGGCTCACATCGGTAATCCCAACACTTTGGGAGGCTGAGGCAGAAGGACTGCTTAAGCCCAGAAGTTTGAAACCAACCTGGGCAATATAGTGAGAACCCGCCTCTATAAAAAAGCTTAAAAATTAGCTGTGTGTAGTGGCATGCGCCTGTAGTCCCAACTACTCACAAGGCTGAGGTGGGAGAATCTCTCCAGTGCGAGAGGTGGAGGTTGCAGAGTTGAGATCACTCTACTGCACTCCAGTTTGGACAACAGAGACCTTGTCTCAAAAAAAAAAAAAAAAACACACACACACAGAAAAAAAAAATGATGTACTTATATGTTATATCATGGATGAGCCTTGAAAACATTATGCTAAATGAAAGAAGTCAGCCACAAAAGATCACATACTGAGTGATTCTGTTTACATGAAATGTCCAGAACAGGCAGCTCTATAGAGGCATAATGTAGACTGGTGGTGCCTATGGCTTGGTGGAGGTTGGAGGAGGGCAGGGTGAGAGGGGTAGGAAGAAATGGCAGGTGACTGCCAGTGGGCATGAAGTTTCATTTTAGGGCGATAAAAATGTTGAACTGATTGTGGTGATGGCTGTACAACTTTAACCATACTAAAAACCACTAAATTATATATATCAAGAGTAAATTGTATAGTATGTGAACTATATCCCAATAAAGCGATATTTTGAAAATCTGCAGTTAGAGGGATAACTAGACTGTGAACACAACATTCTCTTATATAAACCTCTAGTGCTAACTGAATATAAACTTGGATCCACACAACTTAGAATATACAGATTCCTATATAACTGAACTCTTTCTATGTAAAGGGATTAGTTAATAATGGACCATGATATAGTTTTAAGAGCTCTGGACAAATATTAAGTACTAAGACAAATGCAAAATGTACTGATAGCTAATAAATGTCTAATAAAATACTGTGTATACATGCACTGTCCAAAACAGTAGCCAATATCCAGATGTGGTTATGTAAATTTTAATTAAAACTAAAAATAAAAGTTCACTTTTACAGTCCTCACTAGCCACCTTTCAAGCACTCAATAACCACATGTGTCTAGTGGCTACCATATTAGACATCACAGATACAGAATACTTCCATCATCACAGACAGTTATCTTAATACAATATATGTCTTCTGAACCAATAAATTTAAAGTATACTTATAGAGTTCTGAAACTCTGCCTTTACATAATGATGTTAAAATATACAGAGGATTCTCACGGTGTTCCAAAATTAAAATATGCCATCCAAAATAAAACAAATAGCACAAACCTAGTTAAATGTTTCCATTGGACAAGCTACATTATAATACCTAGGTATCTAAAATATTCCCACTTCCTGTAGTATTATTCCCTAAAGGAAAGAAATATGCTCAACTGGGCTGGGTGCAGTGACTCATGCCTGTAACCCCAGCACTTTGGGAGGCTGAGGTGGGTAGATCACGAACTCAGGAGTTCAAGACCAGCCTGACTAACATGGTGAAACCCTGTCTCTACTAAAAATACGAAAATTAGTTGGATATGGTGGCACATGCCTGTAATCCCAGTTATTCGGAAGGCTGAGGCAGGAGAATCACTTGAACCCGGGCAGGGGTGGAGGCTGCAGTGAGCCACGATCGCACCACTGCACTCCAGCCTGGGTGACAGAGTGAGATGAAAAAAACAAAAAAAAAGAAATATGCTCAACTGGAGCAAGTTCAAAGCTTTAGATTCTATTACCTACCCAAACAAGAGTATATATAGTCTTTGACTGAGTTATCTGAAGCTCTTTTAATCTCAGTGTTCTCAAAAGTAAAACAGAGATTTATTTATAATTCTTAATAAAATTCAACATGGCATCACAAAAATGTAATATTTTAGAACTAATAACTAGATGGCTACATATTTCTTAGTCCTACAATGGCTCTAACCAAATGGGGTTAATATCAAATGATTTCCAGTTGGAATCTTTGGTACATATCTGAGAGAGATTAAAAGACATGCCTTAGCTAAAGGGAACACACAAATTGGCCTAACTAAAAACCTACAAATAGTCAATGCTTCAAGTCCTGATGAAGTTCTCTTCCCACCTAGATTACTTTCTTTTTTTTTTTTGAGACGGAATCTTGCTCCGTCACTCAGGCTGGAGTGCAGTGGCACGATCTCGGCTCACTGCAACCTGCCTCTTGGGTTCAAGTGATTCTCCTACTTCAGCCTTTCATTACAGGCATATGCCACCACGCCTGGCTACTTTTCGTATTTTTGGTAGAGATGGGGTTTCACTACATTGGCCAGCCTGGTCTTAAACTCCTGACCTCAGTGACTCACCTGCCTCAGCCTCCCAAAGTACTGGGATTACAGGCATGAGCCCTACATTTTCTAAAACCAAGGTTGGGGCCCAGGAAAGGAAATGAAACTGGAATATGTGATCTTGGTGCTAGTGTATTTTGAACCACGGGTCTTGCAAGAAAGAGCTGCGTATGGCTTGAACTTGTAACTTCTGATCAGAGGTTGAAGGGACTAGAGAAGCTTTCACTTTGGAGGTAGGACAGGAAGAAAAGAAAATTTCTTTTTGAAATAAACACCCAAATCAAGGATTAAAACAAGGCAGTTTTATAAAAAGCCTCAGAGTTGGTCCATGAAGAAAAAATTTATTATTCTAACATAAGGTTTCTCAACCTCTGTGCTACTGACATTTTGGGAAGAATAATTCTTTGTTGTGGGGGGCTGTCCCACACATTGTGGAGTGTTAGACAGCCCCCACTAGGTACCAGCAACAACCCATCTCCAGCTCCCTAACTATGATAACCAAAAATGTCTCCAGACAATGCCAAATGCTCTCTGGGGGCAAAATCACCCCTAGTTGAGAAACACTGATCTAACATTTACTAGCTCACCTTCCTTTCTTTTCTCTCTTAAAAAAAAAAAAAGCCACCAAGTATTGCATGTGACATACTTATGCCAAAAATTTATTCACTGTTTATATAAAATTTACCAGAGCATCCTGTATTTTTATTTGCTAAATCTGGCAATCTTATGTGTGACAGAAATAAAAGACCTGGAAGCCACAGTCCCATGCTATGTATGTTCTTGCCCACTTCTACCATACTCATCAGCATATGCTAAGAGGTCTAGAAAACAAGATATATCAGAGATTCTTTGATAGTCCATTCTATATAAACCTCAGAGATACCGCAAGGCTGCTGATCACAAACCATGCTATAGTTCTCTGGTAGACTTACCATTGGGGTCTTTTCTGAATAGTGTATTCATGACTGTAGCATGCAGTTTCACACTATTCCACTCTTTCACTATTAGTCCAGATGCCTGGAAACGTTCCAGCACTCGATCAACTAACTCTTGCAGTCTGGAGAAATTGGAGAAAAGTAGTAGAGAAATCTTAGTAAACTTCTGAACATGCGATTACTAATTCAACAATGTTTATGGAGCATGTGCTCTGTGCTAATCACTATACAAAGGCCGCATCACAAGAGGAAGAGGAGGAGACCATCTCCCACCACCATGGAGCTAAAGCTCACTGTCTTGTTTGTCTGCTTGACAGACAGTAGAAATAAATGATGGCAATATATTATGGTGAGTGTGAAGGGAGTAATCAGCTCTACATGGAGAGGGCCAGGTTTCCACAGGAAGTTTAGACATAGTCTGGACTGATCACTAAAGACACAAATAACACCAGGGAAGGAAGGGCACTTCAAGTAGAAGAAGCAACAGCATATGCAAAAATGCCAAGGGATGTAAGATCAAAGCATATTCCAAAAACTGTCAACTATTTATAATACAGCTATAATAGAGAAAGAAGAAAGGAACAACAGAGATGAGCTAAGTCTACAAGTAGTGGTCAGATTTAGGGAAACCACAGAATGACTTTCGAAAGGGAATAATGTGGCCAGGTGTGGTGGTTCATACCTGTAATCCCAGCACTTTGGGAGGCTGAGGTGGACGGATCACCTGAGGTCAGGAGTTCAAGATCAGCCTCTGATCAACATGGTGAAACCCCGTCTCTACTAAAAATGCAAAATTAGCCAGGTGTGGTGGCATGCGCCTGTAATGCCAGCTACCTGGGAGGCTGAGGCAGGAGAATTGCTTGAACTCAGGAGGTGGAGGTTGCAGTGAGGCGAGATCACGTCATTGCACTCCAGCCTGGGCAACAGGGTAAGACTCCATTTCAAAAAAAGAAAAAGAAAGAAAGAATGTGGTCTGACGTCCATTTTTGAAAGCTGATTCAACAGCAGACTGGAAAAGGCTTTAGTAGCCAGCTAGGTGGCTACTTCAACAGTCAAGATAACATCACCATGATGTGTTGGGCACTGTTCTAAGTACTTTTTATCTGTTAAATCACTTAATCCTCATAACCAATTATTATCCCTATTTTACCAATACAGAAACCAAGGTACAGGAAGTTACAAAACTTGACCAAGGTCATAAAACTAAGTGGCAAATCAAAAATTAGAATGGGAGGGGCACAGTGGCTCACACCTATGATCCCAGCACTTTGGGAGGCTGAGGCAGGTGGATCACTTGAGGTCAGGAGTTTGAGACCAGCCTGGCCAACATGGTGAAAACTTGTCTCTACTAAAAATACAAAAATTAGCTGGGCATGGTGGCACACACTTGTAATCCCAGCTACTTGGGGGGCTGAAGTGGGAGGATCACTTGAACCCAGGAGGTAGAGGTTGTAGTGAGCCGAGACTGCACCACTGCACTCCAGCCTGGGTGACAGAGTGAGACTTCATCTCAAAACAAAACAAAAAAGAAAAACAAAATTAGAATGTATGCAGTCTGGTTTCAGAGTCCATGCTCCTAAGGACTGTACCATCAAGGGAGAAATGGGGACAGGCATGGTGGCTCACGCCCATAATCCCAGCACTTTGGGAGGCTGAGGTGTAAGGATTGCTTGGGCCAGGAGTCAGCCTGGACAATATAGTGAGACTGTATCTCTACAAAACATTTTTAAAAGTTAGCCAGCCATGGTGGCATGTGCCTACAGTCCTAGCTACCAGGAGGCTAAAGCAATAGGACTGCTTCAGCCGAGGAGTTTAAGGCTGCAGTAAGCCATGACTGCATCACTGTACTCTAGCCTGGGTGACACAGCAAGATCCCATCTCAAAAAGAAAGTGGTTGGGGAGGGAATAATGAAGATCTGAACCAAGCTTGTCCAACCTGTGGCCCAGGACAGCTTTGAATGCAGCCCAAAAGAAATTCTTTAACTTTCTTAAAACATTGTATGATTTTTTTTTTTTTTTTTTTTTTTTTTTTTTTTTTTTTTTTTTTTTTTTTTTTTTTTTTTTTTTTTTTTTTTTCAAGATAATTCCCTCTTCTTCCAATGTGGCCCAGAGAAACCAAAATTGAACACGCTAACTAAATTATGGTGGGGCAGTGAGAACTGAGACAAAGGAATGGGTTCACAAGAGCTATGTGAGAGAGAAGCCGGTGCCCTTTCGGATCTGGCTGCGTTATGGGAGAGGAAGTGGTTGAGAATGACTCCCAAGTGTTGCCCTAAATGACCAGATGGCTCATCAACCAAGGTGGGAGGCTGTGGGGAAGCAACTGCTTATTGTCCTGCTGTGTTATCTTGGGCAAGAGGTTAATATTGAGCAGGATTTTGCATATGTGGCACGGGATGCAAGAGAGATGGAAATATAGGCCAAGAACTCAGGAGAAAATCTAGGCACATGACAGATTTGGGAGTTGTCAGTGTAGCAACAGTAGTCAAAAGCATGGGATAGATGCAGTCACAGGGGCTGGAGGGCATATTCAGAATAAGCCAAGAAGAGAGCTACGGACAGTGCCCTATGAAATGCTTCTATGTAAGGAGCAGAGAAGGAACCAGCAAAGACAACTTATAAGGATGAGGAAATAATATCTGAGATGGGTATATGCTAAGTACAACTGAGGAACAGAAAGGATACCAGTATCCGGGGTGAAACTAGAAAGAAAAGCGATGAGGTCGGAGAGGTGTGACCAGGTTACCCGAAGCTCTCAGGCCCATGGAAGGCCTTCAGTAGTTACTCTGAGTCAGGCGAGGAGCTTCTAGAGGGTGTTTGGCAGAAGACTGACATGATCTGGCTGCTCTGTGGAAGACTGGCAGCAGTGGAAGCAGGATAGAAGCAGGAAGTCAGTTAGGAGGCTGTGGCAACCACCCAGGTGGCTGAGCCTGTGGCACTGGAAGTGGTGAGAAATGAGCTTCCCTGGTATAAGGGAGTCAAAGAAGTGAAGGTGATTCTAAAAGAATTTTTGTTCTGAGAAACTGAGAGATGGAATATCGAAGAACACAATACATTCAAGGACTGGAGAAAATATGTAGAAAGAGAAGGGCAGCAATGAAATGGAAAGGCAGGCTGAAGCCAAGCTGTGAAGGTCCTAGGGGTCAGGCAGGATTGGACTCTTATTTGGTAGGCCACAGGAAACCAAGGGTTGTTTTTTATTGCTGTTGTTGTTTTGAGACAGAGTCTCGCTCTGTTGCCCAGGCTGGAGTACAGTGGTGCAACCTTGGCTCACTGCAACCTCCGCCTCCAGGGTTCAAGTGATTCTCCTGCCTCAGCCTCCCAAGTAGCTGAGATTATAGCTGCATGCCACCACACCCGGCTAATATTTTGTATTTTTAGTACAGACAGGATTTCACCATGTTGGCCAGGATGGTTTTGATCTCCTGTCCTCATGATCTGCCTGTCCTAGCCTCCCAAAGTACTGGGATTACAGGCATGAGCCACTGTGCCCGGCCTGTTTTTCTTTTTTTAAGAGATATGATCTCACTTTGTTGCCTAGGCTAGAGTGCAGTGGCACAATCATAGCTCACTGCAGGCTTGAACTCCTGGGCTCAAGCTATCTTCCTGCCTCAGCCTGCCGAGTTGCTGGGACTACAAGTGCATGCCAACATGCCCAGCTATTTTTTTCAAAATTTTTTGTAGAGATGGGCTATCACTATATTGCTCAAGTCTTGAACTCCTGGCCTCAAGTGATCTTCCCTCCTTAGCCTCCCAAAGTGCTGGGATGACAGGTGTGAGCCACCATTTCAGATCACCAATGACAATTTTTAAGAAGCAAGAAACACAAGGAAAAACTAAAAGCATGGAAGCCAGTTAAGAGAGATACTGTACTTCCTTATACAGTTATCTTAATCTTTTTCCCCAATTACAAAAATAGTACAAGCTCATTATAGAAACTATGCAAAGTACAGAAAAGCATAAAAAGGAAAACATAACCTCACCATGCACAGATAAACACTTAATCTTTTTATGTTAAGTGCGTATCTACAGATGATGTTATGTAATCAGAAAAAAATTTCAGATAAACTGGTTTTAAAAGTTTCTGATTAACACCATCGCAGAACCATAATATTTCTTCTTCTTCCTTTTTTTTTTTTTTTTTTTTTGAGACAGGGTCTCACTCTCTTGCTAGACTATAGTACAGTGGCATGATCTCAGCTCACCACAACCCTCCACCTCCAAGACTCAGGCGATTCTCCTACCTCAGACTCACAAGTAGCTGGGCTTACCAGTGGGCACCACTACCACCGGCTAATTTTCTATTTTTAGTAGAGATGGGATTTCACCATGTTGACCAGGCTGGTCTCAAACTCCTGACCTCAAATGATCCACCTGCTTCACCTCCCAAAGTTCTAGGATTACAGGCGTGAGCCACAAGACCTGGCTGAACCATATTTCTAAATACTGTAACTTAGATCTGAATATAACCATGCACCACAAATTGCACCTCGATTACAAATCACAATAGAATAATTCCTCACTTTCCCCCTTCTTCTCTTAAAGAAAAGAAAGTAGACAAGGAGTTCGGCTATAAAGAACTGAACATGAAACACTGAGCATGAAATACTGGAGTAAGTAAACTAAACAGACTACATGAAAGAAATTAGTTCCCGCCTTTGTCTTTTTGGAAAACGAGGATTTCTGACAATTTACAGACTCAAAACTTTGAAGAAACCAATGTCCTTTAAAAAGTTCTAGTATAGCTGGGTGCAGTGTTCTAGCGTAGCACTTTGGGAGGCTAAGGCGGGCCGATCACCTGAGGTTGGAAGTTCAAGACCAGCCTGACCAACATGGAAAAATCCTGTCTCTACTAAAAATACAAAATTAGCCAGGTGTGGTGGTGCAAGCCTGCAATCCCAGCTAAATCGGGAGGCTGAGGCAGGAGAATCACTTGAACCCGGGAGGCAGAGGTTGCAGTGAGCCAAGATTACGCCACTGCACTCCAGCCTGGGCAACAAGAGCAAAACTCCGTCTCAAAAAACAAAAACAGTTCTAGTGTAACCTGCTCTTTCACACAGGAGGAAATGATGGCAGAGAGGTTCAGTCGCTCAGACAGTGACAGAAGAACCAGAATACAAGT